TTGCCGTTTAATTGTTTGTTCATAATTGCTGCCTCCCTTACCAATTCATTTAATGTATTCATTATTTTGTTGAAGTATTTAATTAATTGTTTTTTCGATGAATACGTCGAGTGGGTATTTTCCAGTTCCCCATAAATACCCAAGATTGCTGCGTTCTTCCTGACTCCTAAAACAAAACGACAACAGTTTAGGTGGATTTCTTCCACACTTGATTTGTATGTGCTTTCGTGACCCCAGATGTCACTTCCGTAAACTAGTATGGGCCTAATTAGTTAATCGAAAAGGGATAGCATTGTAAGTGGATTTAAATTTGGCTTATGTCCAAGTTTTGCTTTTAAACTAAATAAAGCTTTTTGGCCTTTTAGTTTTAATGTTTTCATTGCCTCCTTAAATGTTCCATTCGAACTTAATACAACACCTAAGTAGTTTAGTGTCTAACCACGTTAATTTCTTCACTTTCATAGAAGAAGATATAGTTGTCTAATAGACGATTATTTTTATGGAAAACCATTATTTTTGTGTTCTCTGTATTAACAGTCAGCTTTCAATGTTTTGTGTAAGTGAAGAGATTATCTAAGCTCTTTTGTAATCCATGTTTTGTTTCTGAAAGGATGACAATGTCGTCCGCAATGAACACCAATGCTGTTTTGTTTCATAGCTGTTTTTAAGAAGACAGCTATGCTGGTGCTAGTGTATGGTTTACCATAATTAATAGGAATTTATTTTGACTGTTTTCTTTATCAAAATTTAGAACTTTATTTTGTGCAGTCAGGAATAATTTGTCCATATGATGACTGTAAGCTGGCACATTACATTACAAAATGTCGCGGTCGCCCCCTCGAAAAAAATTTGGAGGCGTCATCCCTCCAAAATCAAAGCTCAAACCGTTTGTGTCAGTGAAATTTGCCCCTCAAAATCAGGAAATAGCGTTCCAGAGGGTCTATATTTCAAATTTTTTTAGTGGGAGCATGCTCCCGGATCCCCTAGTAAGGTCGCGCTTTCTGTTTTGGCTGCACATATCGTATGTTCTTTTATCCAGCAGCACATTATTATGTCTGCATTTCTCAATTTTAAGGTCATGGTTGCTTGTCCTGAATTTTGCAATTAATCTTCTAAGACCATGGTTTTGCACATTAATTAATGTTAAATCTTGTTTGAAAAGTCTGTGTGTTCTTAGTTTGTTTTCAGCCATGGTTTGTTTTCTATTATCATTATGCATGTCATTGGTTCTCAAATGATTTGTTTATTTGTTTATGAATAAAATCTAATTTTTTTTTATTTATTATTTCACTTGAGTTTACAATGGTAACAACATCAATAGGGTTTCTATACTTATAAACCATTTACTTTTTACATTCTTATTTACTATGTAGGCCCAGATACAAGAAGTGTTTGAATTTATACCTTTGAAAACGTCATCGCCTCACCCCCACCCCCCAGAATTTACCATGGCCCAATTTCTTAAGCAATATAATTTACAAACACGTATATGATTTTAATAGTCAAATAGTCAAAGTCACCATCTTTGTTCATATGAGACTCGTATCTCGCGCATGCGTAGCGTGGTGACCAACGCTTTTTAATTAACACGAGAGACGTGTTCTCAATTACGTGTATGGTGAAGTGAAACTATTGATTCTTTCATTTCACGGTTTATGTCAATAACCACCGTGAAATAGTGCTATGGGAGGCCCAGTCGGACTGACTTCCTGTTATGTCTGGCGTTCCTCAGGTTTCAATCTTCGGACCTTTATCATTTTTGAGTCTTTGCGGTTAGTGCATCTCTTTGCGGTTAGTACATCTGTGTTCCACTAATATCTCGAGAACCATTTATCGGATTTTGATGTAACCTGGTACATAGATGTTCTGGGGTAAGGCTCAGATCTGTTTAGTTTTTACTTGAAACCATGTATATTAATTAAGCATTTCTCTTGTTTCTCATGTACTATTCGACAGACTTCAGTAAAACTTGGTACATATAATATATTGCGCAGACCTGGATAGCTTTTGGTTGAAATCCGTGCATATTATCAACTTATTTGCATATTAATTTGCCAATATTTAGCCTACCTACCAATATCTCAACCACTCATTAGACTCTCTAGATGCTCTTGGATAAGCCATATATATGTTTATTTTAGAGTTAACTGTTAAGCTTACTAATTACCTTGAATTATTTATTGAATGTTTGAACAATACCGACTGGACAACAGAATTAGTAGGGAGAAATTTAATGTATTTTACTATGCAAGTTAATTTAACAACAGTGCCCTCCACGTTACTAAGTAACTATGCTATTTTTAGATTATGCAAATAAAGCTGTTCTGTACACTACTAGTATTTTGGATTAGTGTTGTGTTGTCTGCTGGTCAATTATTTTAATATGCATAAATTAACCAATATATAGGTGCTCCACAGATAATTTGAGTACCACTTATCCATTTTTTTAAATGAAACTAGGTACATAGGATCTGATTACTTCAGGAATGCTTACTTAGTATAGCAAATAGGGCTATAATTTTGTTGGTATTGATGGTCATTATGTCATTAATTATTTATAATTATTGAACCATAGGTAGTTGTAACCACTCTGATCATAGGTTAGAGTTTTATTTTAAAATGCTGTATTTGCTCTATTGGAAGCATATGTGCCTTTATCACACGGGAGTTCTTTCCTACCTTTCTTTGATTAAATGAATTATTACATGATTGTAATGATTTGTCACTAGTACTTAGCAATAATAAGATGGCTTTATTTGCAGATGTTGAAATTATAACGAGCATGTGGTGCATAGTACTTCTGCCACATACAGCCTTTGCGGTCATTCACTCGCTTACACGCGGCCTTTTTCTGTAGTTGATTTACCTGAAAACGTACCACCAAAAGTGACACCCAAACTATGCACGAATGTATTACTTCTGTAGAAACGTGTATACAAGCAATTTTATCAGGGAATACGTTGTGAGAAGGTAACGTTACTGGAGTGAAATACTGTGCGTTATACACTAAAACTGTGGTGAATCAACAATGTGATTGTCTTTAGTTGGAAAGACTAAAATATTGTTATCACTCAAGAGAATACCACAACATCCGTTTGTCTGGTATTCTGGCGAATACCTCAACAATATTTCTGGCGTGAAGGAATTCGAATTTACATTTTCCGCGCCTGCCAGCCTTAGAACATAACGCACCTAGCTATTGTTATAGCTGGGTTTTTTAACCTTACTTTTGACATTGGCTTGCTTTCGCAATTTAACGTGCCGAACGATAAGGGTACTACTTGTAAATGCATGTTTATTTTGGCGAACAAATCGCTGTAATTTCAAGCGCTTCAAACAAAATTGATGGGATCTAACATTTGCGATTATGTCAGTAAATCAGCCAATGATTGAAAGGATACCGCAAAGACTCGTGGGTAATGGGTGCCATAATGTCTAAATAATAAATAATGTCTACGGCCAATGAAAGCATCTTTGGATTTGAATGAAGCGTTTTCATAAAAAATTATAAATGTCTATAAAACAGATTCACCCATTCATGAAACCCGGTGTATTAGCTGGTCAATGTTTAGTAAATATCAACTATTTGTGAGATTTGTGATATATGATTTATGCATTCTGAAAACATACAGTTTTGTTTTTGTTTAAACAGTAAGCCAAACTTAGTGACTCTTCGATGGGACATCCCGAGAAATATGCAAATTAGCTGTTTGTATTGGCGATCACATTTCTCAAAGATTCAGGCCATTTTTAGCACCTTTATGAATTGTCTGTCACGTGACTTTCAGGTAAATTGGACATTCTGGTCGTACTTTGCAAAACGCGCTTTCGAAAACAAATAAAGTAGGATCCTTTGAAATTTAATGGGACTCAAAATGGTAAGCCAATACAAAACGTTTATGATAATACGTTCAAACGTTTCTAACTAATGCATACTATTACCAGGTGGTACGCACAATGACTATATATAAAACGAACACAGGGTCACATTTTCTTTATTTCCACGGTTGCTATTGTACGTTACGTTGTGGATTTATAATCGCGCTTTGAATTCAGCTTGAAAATGGTAAGTTTGGTTGCACTTCGGGGTACCTGCAAATTGTTTGGAATCGTTGATGCAAATGTCCTGCAGCTGTGAGACTGTGGTTGTATACACCCATTACACCAGTATTTCGAAATGGAAAGTCCCGTTTCCACATCGCGGAGACTATGGGATGGGTGGTTTGAACCCAAGTTTCATTAAATCGTACTGACGATTGCTCAATTTTCGAGTCGACAATTATGTGAAGTCTGTACGTTTCTAGCGAGGCTACACATTATGGTACCCGCCGGAAAATTCTCTAACCGGAGCTCTCAACAATCTTGTTCACGTTAGCTGTGCCTTTTTTGGCTA